AGATTAATTACTTGAATTTAAAAGCAGGGTTAGAGATAACGAAGCTTTGGTGGAATCATTCTGAGTTGCATAAATTGTTAGCTAGAGTAGTTCGAGAGAATGCTTCTAGTAAATTATCGTAATTGATCGAGAGATAATTGCGGTAACCCATAACTCATATTTCTTATAGAGTGTTACGGCGAGATTATAGCTAACATGTCAGAAATTAATCCGACAATTGGGAAAATCAGTAACCCTAGACCATTTTACCATTGAATTCAACTCTATTCTAGATTATTGCTAGTTTCATTGCTATTTTTCCTTAGTTAACCAATTTGTACTCATTATCCATCAAAAATCTTGCATCCGAAAATTGTTTGAACTTCTCATTAGCTGCGGTAAAAGTTGTAGTAAATAGGTTAGTTCCCTGTGGGATTCGACTCCGGACTGAACCTGATTATATATGCAGCGACCGCTGAATCCTTTTTATAAGGCATAGTTGGGCGTGATCAGTCCATTAAAGAGAAAAATGGTCTAAAGTCCATTTAGTTCCATCTCCTTGAAATAAAATAGAAATTGTATCAAATAACTCTTTGAGTATTTCTATTTAAAATATACTTCCTTTAATTTATATGAACCTATTTGTCGTATAAAATAAAATATATATATTTTTTGTGGCTATAAATTATTGCATAAAGGTAAATTATTTTCAAATGCGAAAGGAAATTACTCCCTCTGGTCCACTTTAATTGATTTTTTTTGCTTTTATTTTGTGATCCACAATATTAAATTTTTTCAGATATCAAGAAGGATTTTTTTTTTTCAAAGTTACCATCGGAGTAAAGAGCCTAGGAATATTTGTTATATTTCTAATAAACAAATTAAAGTTAATATAGTCAATTTCATTATTAAGTAATGATAAAAGATGGATTCCTTAATATGTATAAAAATAACAAAAAATTAATTGAAAGGAATATTTTTTTGGCACAAAATAAAAAAAATAAGTTCACATAAATTAAAACGGATAGAATGTTTATTTCTCAAGTTTAGTTATTCATTAAATAGCAGTCCTAAAAATGGCTATTTGTGCATCTATATATATATATATATATATATATATAAAAAGAGGGAAAAATAATGTTGACTTGGCACCCCTCTTTGCCCAAGAAACCTACTTATCTTTTGTCTCAATTTTTTGGATTTTCCTTCCTTTTTCTTCAATTTACGTGCTAGATTAAACAACACAAAAAAAACATTCTTAAATGCTCTTAAATCTAAATCATATTGATTGAATCATTAATTAATGGGATCATTATAATTTTAGATGAGTTACAAACTTTTCACCTTCCCATTCACCATAACATTTCCTTTTATCAATAAACTAAGAAAAACTATTATTATATAAACTCTATTTAGGTATGAAATTTCGTATAATAAAAGCTGACTCATGTAAATTATTGTCAAATCAGATATAAACATCACAACTAACTACTGGATACCATTTACACACATTTTGGAACGAAATATTCATTCATGAAACTCTAAAGGGATTAAAGCAAATGAGAGGCAAACTTCCATAACTGTTGAAAGAATATCTACTTTGTAATTGCTGACGGCCACGGTCCTCGGCTTCTATCGTCACGTGCACGACGCAAACTATTAAAAAAAAAGGTTACATAAGTACATAAAACGCAGTATAATACTGCGTTTCACTTTAATGGAAAGTTAGTCGTTAAAGTTAAATGTAGTACTATACTGCGTATTATTTAAAAAATAATTTTTTTAGGAAAACTCAGTACAATACTGCGTTTCCCTTAAACGCATTACTGTATTTTCCTTTAATAAAATATAGGGCCCCTTCTTCTTCCCCAAGATAACGACAATCACTCCTCCATTTTTAAAAAATTCCCCACTCACTGCTGCCCCCCCCCCCCCCACGAAATTAAAAATAAATATTTGGGCCTCACCCGTCACCCAAAAAGCGAAGAGTGTAGGTCCCGCACACAGCACAAGCCTTGGATTCCTTCTATCGGGTTCAAAAATTCGATTTGGATCTTTTTCAAAAAACTTAAATCGATGTATTTCGATTTTGTTTATATCGAAACTCGTAGAGTATATGCATATTTGTTTTGTTGAATGCGTTTCCATGTTAATTTGTGTTTAAATTTGTATCTTATTTATACCCGAATTGATTTATTAGCTTTGGGACAAAAAATAATTAAAACTTGATAAATAATTTTTATTGTTAATGTTATGTTTTTATTTGCTTAAATAATAAATAAATATTATCTATTTAGTTTGTTGTTCATATGTATGTTATGTTTGTTGGTTTTATATGTAATAGTAGCCTTTTAGCGTAGTAAAATATAGAGCCTTTTAGCGTATAGTCTCTGTAGTTTAAGTGTGTACTAACTACAAACTCTATCCAATTAATTATTTAATTTATAAAAATAAACTTACAAAACTAACAAATTAATATATGTTGTCAAATTAACTCAAATATCGAGCTTGAAACCCATAGATAATTACTCAGTCCAATTATAAAAATAATTATTTAATTCATAAAACTAACAAAATTCTAAAAACGACACACATAATAATTAAGGATAACTTGGTGCTACCGGGCCTCAAATATCGAGCTTGGAACCCATAAATAATTACTCAGTCCAATTTTAAAAATAATTATTTAATTTATTAAACTAACACACACAATTAATTTTGTTTAAATTATAGTAGACGACATGGACTTGCCGCCTCCTGGACCAGCCGAGGATCAGCTATTCGTGTTGCAGGGCGACCATAAGTCCTCCTTTGTATGGGAGGGACATCTACCGGATCAGCCTCTCCGCGCCAGGAGACCTGACGATTTGTGGGAGTTCTTGAGGCAGCATCATTTTCATGCCCGCGTAGTCGCGCGCCTACAGGCTACGGGCTTCTTTAGGATTTTGCAGATTGGGCGGATGCAGCTTGATTGGTCTCTCATCACGGCCTTGGTAGAGCGGTGGCGACCGGAGACGCACACTTTTCACTTGCCCACTGGAGAAGGCACCATCACGCTTGAGGATGTTCAGGTTTTGTATGGGCTGCGCGTAGATGGACGGGCCGTTGCACTGCCCCAGTACATGAGATCCATGACGCGTGCCCAGTATTTGGATTTGATGGGGCAGTATACTGGTTACAGACCTCAGGGTGACGCTGTACAGAGAGGGGGCAGTCGCGTTTCTTTGTCAGCAATCAGAGACCATATGGCGTTTTTGCACCCAGACATCACCGGCGAGACAGAGGATCTCCATATTGAGCGGTACACGAGGTTGGCGCTGCTCCTGCTTTCTGGGGGTGTCTTGTTCCCGAACACTTCGGGAAGTCTAGTGAGTATGCGCTTTCTGCATCATCTGCAGCAGCTAGATGATTTACCCCTGTACAGCTGGGGTGTTGCTGTTCTAGCATACCTGTACCGGAGTATGTGCCGGGCGAGCATGCTTTGTCAGGTGGACATATGTGATTTTCTGCCCCTCCTACAGGTTCGAAGTAATGAACAGAGTATTCGAAAATGTTGTCACCTGTAAAAGGGGCAGAAAACCACATATGTCCACCTGGCAAAGCATGCTCGCCCGGCACATACTCCGGTACAGGTATGCTAGAACAGCAGCACCCCAGCTGTACAGGGGTAAATCATCTAGCTGCTGCAGATGATGCAGAAAGCGCATACTCACTAGACTTCCCGAAGTGTTCAGGAACAAGACACCCCCAAAAAGCAGGAGCACGTGTACCGCTCAATATGGAGATCCTCTGTCTTGCCGGTAATGTCTGGGTGCAAAAACGCCATATGATCTCTGATAGCTAACAAAGAAACCCGACTGCCCCCTCTCTGTACAGCGTCACCCTAAGGTCTGTAACCAGTATACTGCCCCATCAAATCCAAATACTGGGCACACGTCATGGATCTCATGTACTGGGGCAGTGCAACGACCCGTCCATCTACGCGCAGCCCATACAAAACCTGAACATCCTCAAGCGTGATGGTGGCCTCTCCAGTGGGCAAGTAAAAAGTGTACGTCTCCGGTCGCCACCGCTCTACCAAGGCCGTGATGAGAGACCAATCAAGCTGCATCCGCCCAATCTGCAAAATCGTAAAGAAGCCCGTAGCCGGTAGGCGCGAGACTACGCGGGCATAGAAATGATGCTGCCTCAAAAACTCCAACAAATCGTCAGGTCTCCTGGCGCGGAGAGGCTGATCCGATAGATGTCCCTCCCATACAAAGGAGGACCTATGGTCGCCCTGCAACACTAATAGCTGATCCTCGGCTGGTCCAAGATGCGCAGGCGGCAAGTCCATGTCGTCTACTATAATTTAAACAAAATTAATTGTGTGTGTTAGTTTAATAAATTAAATAATTATTTTTATAATTGGACTGAGTAATTATCTATGGGTTCCAGGCTCGATATTTGAGTCCAATTATTTTTATAATTGGACTGAGTAATTATATATGGGTTCCAAGCTCGATATTTGAATTAATTTGACAACATATATTAATTTATTAGTTTTGCAAGTTTATTTTTATAAATTAAATAATTAATTTTGTAGAGTGTAATTGGATAGAGTTTGTAGTTAGTACATACTTAAACTACAGAGACTATACGCTAAAAGGATCTATATTATACTACACTAAAAGGCTCTATATTTTACTACGCTAAAAGGCTCTACATTTCACTACGCCATAAGTCTCTATATTTTACTACGCTAAAAGGCTCTATATTTTACTACGCTAAAAGGCTCTATATTTTATTACGCTAAAAGGCCACTATTACATATAAAAACAACAAACATAACATACATATGAACAACAAACTAAATAAATAATATTTATTTATTATTTAAGCAAATAAAAACATAACATTAACAATAAAAATTATTTATCAAGTTTTAACTATTATTTGTCCCAAAGCTAATAAATCAATCCAGGTATAAATAAGATACAAATTTAAACACAAACATAACACAAATTAACATGGAAACACAATCAACAAAACAAATATGCGTATACTCTACGAGTTTTGACATAAACAAAATCGAAATACCTCGATTTAAGTTTTTTTAAAAAGATCCAAATCGAATTTTTGAACCCGAAAGAAGGAATCCAAGGCTTGTGATGTGTGCGGGACCTACACTCTTCGCTTTTTGGGTGACGGATGGGGCCCAAATTTTTTTTTTAATTTCGGGAGGGGGGGGGGGTCCAACAGTGAGTGGGGAGTTTTTTAAAAATGGAGGAGTGACTGTCGTTATCTTGGGGAAGAAGAAGGGGCCCTATATTTTATTAAAGGAAAACATAGTACAATATAATGCTTTTAAGGGAAACGCAGTTTTGTACTGAGTTTTCCTAAAAAAAATTATTTTTTAAATAATACACAGTATAGTACTGCGTTTAACTTTAACGGCTAACTTTCCGTTAAAGTGAAACGTAGTATTATACTGCATTTTATGTACTTATGTAACTTTTTTTTAATAGTAGAAAGGTATTTTGTGCCCAAAAGGGCACTATTTAAGTTTCGGACTCACCCTCTAACTGTGAGATGCACGTCGGTACAGGAGCATCCTACAAGCAACAAGAGAATATTAAAAAAAAAAAAAAGCTAAAGGTATATCTGTATCTGGAAGAAGTATGTAGATAAGTTGTCAAGTAAGACTTCCTCGAAAGAATAAAAAGGGTACATTTCCTGATGGAATAAAGCATAAGAATTTACATGATCTACAACACAATCAAGGGATGTACGATACAGAAAGATCACACATGCTAATGCAAAAAATATGTTTCGGTAAGCATACAACAATTAATTTTATAGCTTGCTACAATACAGAGAATATCTAGGCAAAACTATGTATAACGCAATCATAAAGTGAATAACAAAAAGAAGCCACAAAAATATATTATATGTGAATTTGTCCCAGTTGTAATACTACGATTTACACAGTTCACGGCCTGTCTAGTATTGCACAAATGCCATCTTATTTTTTCCCTCTTTCTGTACTAATAGTACTACAAATCTTCCTCATTAGTCAGATAGCTTCACGTGTCAATTGCAGATATTGTCTCATGCAAAAAAAAGCATAAAGGGTCCAGCTAGCTCATTCTTTCCTTTCCAGATTTGAGAATTTAATTTGTGGTACCAAGTTAAAGAAACCTATCCAATAGTAAATTGTAGTTTTATCTGCTTTGTATATTCTATCACATGAGCTACACCATTATATAACAGACTATTAGTTCTTACTTCCGTTATTTCATAACTATTCATTATGATATGCAGCGCATCATCATAGAACGTGTTATTAGTTCTACCCTCTATTCCGACTTAGACCAGTATAATTCAATGATATCCTTCAATCAAATCTTCAGTGTGGTGTAAATAAGCAAAAGCACACTCTGGTTATAGCTATTGATAAAGCTAATAGAATCTAGCATTTGATCCATACTATTTATATTTTGCACCAAAGTACGGGAAAAAATCAAGGAAAGATCAAAATCATGTTCTACTCCTTTGAAAGCATTTTCTGTTTCTTTCAAAAACAAACCAACAGTGTGAAATAAAGAGGGAACACAAACATGCTACTGTGGACATATTTAGATCGCTCATCGCTATAATATGTATTTGAGGGAGATTTGCAGAACACCCATTTACCTTTTGTGCTAATGTTTTCTGAGCTCCTATGTTCATTCTGATTAAAATGAGCTTCTAATTCTTATAGGTGCATTCATATTAATTTTTCTATTTTGCCGGGCAATATGTCTAAAAGACCAAATCAGTTCACATTTATAATCCTTCTGTGTTCTATATATCATTCGCTGCTAGCCATTTAATCACCTTGCATACCTACCTCATCGGTTGATATCTATAGACAATCTAAAAAGATTCTATAGCATATTAAACTCAAAATACGTAAGTGTATTATTCTTATAATGACCTACATACAAAGATTATTATCATCTATCTTATCTATGTATAAAAAAATACAGCACTTCTAAGCTTAATATGTGGGGGGTTCGTCCACACCACAACTGAGATGGTAATTTTCTAATTTAATTCCAAGATTAATATTCTCTGTTAATGGAATATTATACTAATTCAAAATTAGTCAATTTAAAGGTGGTTGGGGAGCAACGAACGTACAGGTAAAATATTTATTTTGACCAAATTAAGAACCTACAAAAGCTGTAAGTTCCCATTTGTCTTTATTCTCCCTACCAATCTTATAAGTACTATTTTTTAGAAACTACAAAAGCTGTAAGTTCTCATTTGTCTTTATTCTCCCTACCAATCTTATAATACTACCAGTTTTATAAATATTTCTCTGTCAATGGAATATTATACTAATTCAAAATTAGTCAATTTAAAGGTGGTTGGGGAGCAACGAACGTACAGGTAAAATATTTATTTTGACCAAATTCAAGAACCTACAAAAGCTGTAAGTTCCCATTTGTCTTTATTCTCCCTACCATTCTTATAATACTATTTTTTAGAAACTCTAACTATATCCATCTTCTCCTGCCATGGAAAAGGCACTTGGAGAACAACCAATTAAAAGCACCAATCTCCTCAATCATTAGGACAACTGCCAAAAATTTGAGAATTGTATGGTCTTTTTTGATTAAATTTTGTATATTTGATGATTAAATTTCTGCTCTAAGTCTACAATACGAAAGCGGAACTAAGATTTCATGTGTGAACTTATCTTGAGCATAGGCATAAGTTTTTCCCATAGAATGGAAATGTCAATCAAGGCAGCCTTTGAAGAAAAATTAAGAGTATCTAATTAGTTTTCTTAACAACAGGAATTCCTAAGATTATAATCTAGTTGACTAAGTATTGAACTGCATTTGTTTACAGTTTACCTCTCACATAGATAATATATCTCCTCTAGAGTGTGGACGTCATCATAGGCAAACCACCTGCAAAAGTAAGACAAAGTTAACCGAAATTATTGCTAAAACGTATAAAAAACCTGATTATTGATTCAATATACTAAATAGAGACATAAAATTGGCCAAAGACTTAGAATACATTGCTCCAAAGATAAAGTTATAAGCAAAATATTTGCAATAATTTCTTTATCTTCATTATTGGTTTAAGCACACATTAGGAAAAATCCACAAAGAGTCATTGCGTGTAAAAATTTTCTTTCCAGTATCAATTAAACTTTTGACCTGCCTACTTGAAGGAAAAAATATTTCCATCTTAGATATAAGTACTCAAATAATAGATTCGGCCAACAAAAGTCCCCTTAGTGAATGGTCTAAAACTTGACAGTTCACACGCAGAGGAAAAAACAATTAACGATCATCAGAAAGTATTATGTTTGTCTTACACAGATACCACAAATTTTACACTAAACAATTCTACTTTTGAATGAAAGAAAATGAACTCAAATCCATGTTCTTCATAAAGAAATAACATAGTAAAGCATTGAAAGTATCGTTATTCCAAAACTTCTATTATTCAAATATTATTGTTGCAAAAATTGGGGTAATTAAGTTCTACTATAATTAGCAGAAGATATCATTCACAAAGCATAAACGTAGCATTGTCAATTCTCAAACCCTAATTCTAAACCTGATTACCTTGAATTTTTGAAGATTTTCTGGAAAGGTGGATTCAGCTGGACTACATATATAGATTACGGATGTGTATTCCTGATGTTTCTCCTTCTCCGTTCCTCTTCGTCTCTATGCCTGTCAGCGCTCCTTCTCCAGTTTAACTTATCTGCAGATCCATATTCAAGAGAGTCCATAAAAGATTGAGCTTTATGAAAAAAGAGTTACACACCATCTAAAAAATAAAAATAAAACAAAGAAGATCAACAGCGTAGCATGACATAAAATACCTTACTATCAGGGTGATAAAATTTAGTATCTGGGTGATAAAATGAAGAGTTATTAAGTATCGCAGCATATAACAGCCCTGAAATTGCAAAATTAAACAGTAAGTGAAGCACCCAGGAAAGCACGCAATTTCAAAACTCAGAAAGGTTTCAATTGCAAAATTAAAAATCATGAAAAGAACCCAAAATAGAAAAAGAGAAGGGAAAGGGATTTGGGAAAAATCAGAGAAGAAACAGATGAAGAGAACCTGCAATAGCCACTAAACTTCAGAATTAGCCAAAAAATACAAAGGGGAAAAAAGATGAAAAAATGAGAGAAAAACATATCAGGAACCATTAAATTTCAAAGCTAACAATAATGACCCAAAAGAAAGGAAGAACCAAGAATAAAGGAGGAAAAAAAAGTACCTGCAGCTAGCCCTGAGAGCAAGAAGACAAACAGGGAGAAGCGGTGTATTCAGATGCATTAATGGAAAACCTAATATGTTAATTATTAAAATACAGCTGGAGTAACATATAAATTACACGTGTCTTTTTTTTACATATCAAGCCACGCGTATAAGATTGATAGGAAATGATGCAAAATGACTAAATTATCCTCGACCTTTACAAAACAGACATGAAAATAGGTCAAGGGCGCGTCGGAACGGTCCGTAGCTGCTTAGACTCATCCGAGAGTTTAATCTCCTTACTCCTTACTGCTTTTTTCAAAGAAAAAAAGAAGGGATTCGATTTAGGCTCCTTCCCTTTCACTGCCGCAGACTTAACTGAAAAAGAAAGATTCCCTTTTGTTACCGACCTTCTTCCCTTGACTAGTGTTTTAGCCATTAGAAAAAACTTGGGGGTCGGCCTCCTGACTTCAATGCCTTTATTGAAGTGATGAGCTTTGAAGATATGATTTTCTCGTTTGGAGTATTTGATTGGGCTTTCAATGACAGCAAATTGACTTGGAGCAGTAATCAAACTGGTCAACATCTGTTCTAAAGAAAGACCTGCCTATACTGAAGAGGGGCTGGTTCACGGTAATGAATGGTGGTATCGGTCGGGGCAAGCACAGCACTCGTCCCCACAGCCCTTATTGCAGCTGATAGACTGATAAATCTTTTCCCCGGAGCTGGAACAACTTGTTCTTCCTGACCCGATTCAACGCCAAAAAATTTCTTTCTTAGGCGTGTTATACGTTCCAATTGGTTTCACGTTTTCGGGGGCTTCCAAGAGTATGTTAATAGATTATTGTTTTAGTTGTTTGGCTTCCCGCTGTTATCGTTTAGGTATATCAAGTGTGGTTTGAAGTACATTTTGTGTTAAAGTAAAGATTTTTGTTTTTGATGTGCTTTTCTTTGTCCATGGTTTTTCTCTTTCACAGGTAATGTGATTCAATATTTGTTATGCTCTTTAATTGTTGCTATGCTCTTTGTATAATGTATATGATGGAGGAATTAAATTGGTTTTGCTTCATGCTTTCACGACATGCATTTTATCTTCTTCTTTTTTTCTTTTTCTTTTTTCTCATAGTCATGGTTTGGAAAAAAATATGTTAGTCTTATGCCTCTTCTGTTTTCTTTACATAAATTCTCTAAACGTTGAAAATTAGCATTCAATGGGTAACAAAAAAGTATAAAAATGGAGAGAAATAAATGACGAAAATTAAGAAGAATAGTGTAGTTATTTTAGATGAATAACAAATTTAATTGTGAGGATGTGTCATTTCTTTTCATAAAACATATCTATTCTTTGAAAAGGTGTGGTAGTTAATATGTCACTCTGTGTAAATACTACTATTCTATATAATTTTAGCACCTATAAATTGTTGCACTAGATAATTTCAGTTCTTGAAATTTTTCTCAACTTGAAATCTTATCTTTTTGGCTATTCATCTTCATTCTTTCATTCGCTCTAACTTCTAATTTGGCTGTTCTTCTTCACTTTAACTTCTAAAAAGCAATTGAGAGATTTAACGGTTCCTCCAAACTTTTATTTGAGTGCATATTAAAGTGAATATCTACTTTTAAATTGTTCAGTAATTTTTGTTACGGTAATCATCACCGATGACCTTGCGTATATATTAGTCTGATTCTTTTTCAAGAATTTGCTTTTAAGATTTATATGGAAGAGAAATGTAACTTGTGAGATTAAATGATAGAAAAAATTATCTAGAAAAAGTAATTATTTTTTAGGTTCATAGTTGAAAAAATAGGTCTCAGGTTGAATCGTTTTTCCAAAGAAAATAGCATAACGAAAGGAAAAGAATGTTTCATGTTTCCTCTTCATAGTCTTTAGACGGAAATTAGTCTTATATGGATTTTATTTTTTTTCATTTGTGTTATATGAATAACTCCTTTTTTCAGCTTGATTTAATATAGCTTTCTTTTTAAGCCCCTCATAAATATCTAATTACATTTAAAAAATAGTCTATGACAATGACATGTTCAACCCCTACAAAAAGTAACTTAAATGGATTCACTTTTGAGGCTAACTTACACAAATTCCTTTTCATATTCTTTAGACTTTTCTGTTTATCTTTTATATTATCTTTTATATCTACTATAATATGGTATGCACTCTAACATGATCGAGAGAAAGATACAAGTTATTTTCCGTTGCGTGATTAAGCATTGATTATATGCTTTTCAATTTTATGATTAGGATCCATAAGTTCCTTTCCTATTTAAATTTAGATCAAAAGAGGAATTCGTTCTTTCCTTTTTTTTATTGTAGGTATTTTTGGTTATTTTAGATAATTTTTTTGATGAATGGGGAATGATTGAAAAAGTGTTTACTTTGTTGTAATTTTCTATAATTTTAGAAGATTTTTCAATCAAGTTTTTTTTTTTTTAATACTCTCAATTTTACTTAAAATTATACATTTGATTAGTTTTGAGTTTAGATCTGATTTTTATAAGTAAAAAGTAGTTTAGTATTTGCCACGTTTCTTCTTTTTCTATATGAACTAATTTATAAAATGATCACTAACAAACTCACGGTCATTTATTTATATATATAATCGCGCTAAGTTAACTAGTTACAATATATAGGTCGCATTGCGATATAAGTCGCAATTATCAAATAACGCCAATCTGTCGATTGGTATATAAGTCGTATTTGTCAATGGGGATATGTGCGTTGTATCATCCGTAGTGTTCATCCCCGTATAAGTCGTTCATTAATTTCGATTATAAATGTGATTTATAAGTTACATCCCTAAATGCAATTTGCTCTCTTTACTACACCTTTGAAATTTAGAGCCCAAAGCATACATTTGGGGATTGAATTCGATATAATATGTCACAAGCGACCAGTTTGAATTGAACAAAACAATTTTAAGAATATATTTTTCGGTAAACTAATTCACCTCTTTTGAAGCTTGGGTTGGGTTGGTATATTAAAGCTTGATTGTAATGTTGGCAAATTGACTAGTGTTTTGATGTAACTTTAATACTAAAAATTAATAATAATATTTGTGTTGTTTGAATCAATAGTATGAAATTAAGAGTTGAGATAGTTGTAAAGAGAAATAATTTTCATTCATAAGTAAAATAATTATTTTTGACATTCCATTAATATGATCCTTGGAACTATCAAATACTCTCACAATTTTCCTACTTTTTTGTGGCACCAAGCACGTCAGAAAGGGACGATTCCCGTGAAAACATGCGAAATATCAGAAGGTATCTGCCAATTCTATCGTGCTAAAAGGAATAATCAAAGACAAAAGTTGTCGAAATCTGCACCAAGGAGTCAAGCACAACGTCGAGTTCCACGTTGGGTACTGTGAAAATATATGAATATATAGATGCTATTGTTATTTGAAACAATCAACCAAATATAATTGAAGTTTTCACAAATTTTTTAACACTTGTTTTTCGACGAATTGAAAGATAAACAAAATACAGGCCACATAAGTATACGGTTGAAGAGATCGAAAATGACTATTAAGGAAGAAAAATGAAATACGGGTGCACATTTCCCATATGCTTTTATATTTGCTTGATTCAATTGTATTTTATGTGAACTTTTTATAGATGAGAAAAAAAAAGGAAAAATATATGAGGGGATTATAAAGTGAAGAATGGAACTCAACCTAATGAAGTTCAGTTAACAATTCAAAAATGAACTAATATCATATTCTGGTCATTTCACAGGCGGACTCAAGATTTGAAGGTCGTAGGTATACTTTTAGATTCAATCAAAATCTGCTTTATATATAGGGTGTCACTGCTAACATATCACTATTTTATAAAAATATATAAAATTTTGTCAAACTTTACAGGTGCCAATGACCCCTCTTGACATAGTATAGGCTGCCTCTGGGTCATTTGATACTTGTTTATTAAAAAGAAGGGAAAACAATGTTAATCCTCCATTCGTCCAAATTAGTTGTCATGTTTCACTTCTCGAGAGTTAATTTGACCAAGTTTCAAAGCTAAATTAGATTAGATCAACTATATAAAAAGTATTACAAGTAGCAATTATTCTCATGTCAATATGATAAAAATATATATTTCAAAATATTGGCAAAGTTCATATAATTTGACTCCTGGGAAGTCAAATGTGACAACTAATTTGGGACGGAGGGGGTGATTTCTTTTCTGAAACAAACAAACTAAGCGTGTATTTAGTAATGATAATGATGCCAATTATTTTCTGAAAATATTTTCAGAAAATAAGTTATTACTATATTTTTCAAAAAACAAGTCATTTTCTGGCATTCAAACGTGAAAAACAATTTTTTTATTAAATGAAAAAATATGTCTTTTTCGCTTATATTTTTCTCCAATGATCCATTTGAAATATTTTTTAAATTTTAAAGAGTGTTGGATAGTAAACAGAATTTAGTGTGAAGAATAATTTTCGAAAAACATTTTCACCCTATATAATTTCACCTTTTTCTTTTTCAAAATAAATGGGACCCCAAGTTCTAGTTTTCCTTGGAGCTTAAAAGTTTCTGGTCCACAAGCGGGGCGGTGTACTTTTGAGTTTTGACTAAACCCTCAAACCCACTTCTCTACCTTAAACCCTCAGCCGCACGGTCACAGACCAAAAATCAGTCTCGTTCTACAAAATCCCACTACTCTTTCTAGGTTGAAATCTTTGGAAATGGGAAGGATATTTGTGGTAGATCTTGAAGGTAGGACATATAAGTGCAAATTCTGCAAAACCCATCTTGCCCTTGCTGACGACCTTGTTTCCAGGGTATTATTTCTTCCCCCTTTTTCTTCTGGTCATATAACTAAGTTTATACAAATAAAAATCTCACTTTTCTCAGTTGGTAATGGTACTTTTCAAGATTGTTGTACTTTGGCATGCTTGGTTTGTGGTTTCTAACGATTGGTTTTATGGTCAGGGGTTTCATTGCCGCAGAGGAAAAGCATACCTATTCAATAAAGCGTGAGTGCCTTGTAATTTTGTTAACAACAATTTGATGATAACCGGTTCTGTATGAGTTAATTTGCTTATTTCGCACTTGAATTGATTTTGTTATGCATTTATCTCTGAGTGATACATGCGACTAGTTATGTTTTTAAGAGCTTGGGATTTATATTAGGTTTGGTACATCAGCAAATCTTTGTTGCAATTGATCATTTTGAAATGAAGGCGCTCCCCTAATTGGTTAAGTCTAATTTTACTTTTCACAACCTTCTAGCTGTAGTTTATATTAGATTCTTGATGATACTATCTTTACTGAACTGAGTTTTTTCTTTTTGCTAGAGAGTTGGTATGTCATAAGTCATAACCCAACTTGGGAACCATGATTGGCGCTAAGTGATCCTAAGCCTACCTTTTTTCATGCTAAAATCCGGTGGAGTCTTCTTGGTATCGGAAGCAATTCATAATTTTAGGCCTGTCATCATTATTCATCTCAAATCCATCATACTATAACCACAATATTATGCACATATTAGGTCTAAAGAATATAAAAATTAAAAAATCTCAAGTTAATGGCTTCCCCAACAACTCTGTCAACTTTCAAGCCACATTAACACAAACATTAGCCAAAACATAATCCGGAGATTGATTTAAGGAGCATTGGAGCTGAGGGTCTATTGGAAACAGACTCTCTACTCCTTCGAGGTAGGGGTAAGGTCTGCGTACACATTACCCTCCCCACACCCCATTAGTGAGATTTTACTGGGTTGTTGTTGTTGTTTGTTGTTGGAGTAATGGATACATATCAACGGTAGCTGAGGCGCAAAATTTCTGGTTCTATATGTGAGATATTTCATGCCCAGCTTTCTTTCTCTTCTCTTCCCTTCTTAGCGAACAGCTAGTCCAGATTTCTTTTTCATGGTAAGAGGAAATAACCTCTTGTAGAAATGCAGGGTACGACTGCTTACAATAGACCCATGTGGTCCGGCCCTTCCCCGGACCCGTGCATAGCAGGAGCTTAGTGCATCGGGCTGCCCTTTTTTTTGGTTAGAGGAAAAATTAAACTCTCACGGGTGAGAGAGCGATACCGGGAAAAACAGAAAGGGCTATGAGAGATTGGAGCTCTTGCTTGAGGAAGAAAGGCTGGGAAGAATATGCTTTGGGTTGAGAAGAAGAATTGGATAATAGAATGACAAAAATGTCCCTTTAATTCATGTGTTATGGATGTTATCTTAGGGGCATTTAAGAGAAATAAAAAATGGGTACAATGCTAACCTACTAAGTACTACCTTCATGTAATAGGTTAACAAGACCCCATATGTGTATAATATTATATACATACATATAGAAAAGGAGACATAGTTGTACTTGGTGGGTTTTGCTTATTTAAGGACACATGGTGGGCCTTTTATTTTATACCCTCAAATAGCTTAGAAGTCCACCACTGTGGGATTTCACTTTGTCTCCCACCGATCAAACTATCCAACAAATTATACTCAGCTATTTTCTAATCAACAATGTCGTCATCAACATGAAAACTAGACCCATATATTAATCTCACATTTAACAATCTATATGTGCTAAGCAGCAACAACCATTTTGTTTTTCATTAAAAGGAAAGGGTTAGAGCTAGCTTAATTTAAAAAATAAAAGGAAAGGGTTAGAGGCTGATAGCACTATATCCTATCAGGAAAGCAAAAGTAATAAATAGCTTACTACTTAAGTTGCTATTGAGCCCTTTTTATCCAATTTCTCCTTTTCCAAGTAAGAAATAGATAAAATGGGCTCCATCTAATGTTTGCAACCACCAAATTAACAATAAAACATGAAAACAAGTAGATAATCACAACCCAAGTAATAATAAGCAAGATAAACAAAACCCATTCACATTAATGCCATAAGAGTTTACAACCCCAACTATGGAGTTTAGCTACTCATACTAGAAATCGAAAATAAGAGTTGAGATGAAAAGATAAACATCATTAGGACTAAAAGAATAAGAAAATTTAAACACTATAATGAAAATCCTTCAATCCTTCCCAAAATAGCTAAAAGCTGTTATGGAGTACGACAGAATGAAAGATGACCTAATAAAATCAGCTAAGAATCTATTTATAGCCGTCTAAAAGTTGTGACAAAATCGTCCCTTGGATGCCTATGCAGCTATGCAAGAAGTTGTGTCTAGCTACGTACAACAACTTCTTCCTCTGTGTAGCTACGCTCTTGTGCGTAGCTGATTTCAGTGATTCCCCAAATTTTCAGCTTTTCGGGCGTCTTGTTGCTTAGCTACGCAAGGTCTCCATCTACATATTTCAAATTTTTAGCATTTTTGGCTTGAAATTGATCCCTTTCTTGCGGAAAATTGATGCTTTTCAATCTCTAAGCTCTCACACAACTTCAAGACCTGAAAGTATACCATTCAAAGCATTAGTCAACTTATTCTAATAAATGGGGCATAAAACTTATCAAAACACAAAGAAAATTAAATGGACATAAAACTCTATCAACTCCCCCAAACTTACATTTTTGCCTGTCCGCAAGTAAATCATAACACAATCATTACGTCTAAGACTAACTAGATACTTAGACAAGCAATCAAAGTCAACAACAACCAAGCCAAGAAGCAATCAAGCACAAGAACTCACGACTTCAATTGGTACCAACAATTAATTCCCTAGCATATGAATTATCACAACATTCAAAAAAACTCAATTTTCATTATGAGTGCTCAAACACTAAACCAATCAAAGTAACAACCTAAGTGATGACATTAAAGCCTTGAAATTTGCCTCTTCATCACACAACAACTTTCTTTTGTTCAATTCTCAATGGAGAAAAAACAGCTTCACAACTCAAGTTTTCATGTGCCCTCACAATCAAAAGAGGATCCCCACACACAATATGTATTTCAAAACAAAAGTGGGATGTTAGATAAAAAGAATTAAGCACTCTATTTTACAAAAAAAAATTATTAAAATGCTCAAAAGTGGTTAACTTTGGGACAATAAGAGATGTGGTAGAGCTACCAGGTGTGGTGGTGACAACGGTGTCGGGGTGGCAGTGATGGTGGAGTAGGAGCTCTAGATGGTTTCTTCTTCTGTGGCTGTGATACACTAGTAGCTGCTTTTTCTTTGGTGTGCCTTATGATATGGACCGGAATGAGAACACTAAAAGTGCGATCACTGGGAGTGGGTTTTAGTAGGCACCTTATGCTCTTTTATGAGATTGGTTATGTAACCAGGGAATTACGTAACATCTGTCCTACTAGGGGATTTATCTCGCAGCTCCTTGACAATTACCTGACCCACATCTATAGGCCATTTTGACATAATTACTACAATGAGGATGGTCCTTTGTTGAGAGAGCTCAGAGTAATTCTTCCTTGGCATTAATCTGTAACACGCAAAAGTGGTCCAAGCCAAAGCTGCTTTGTTAAAATCTAGCTTATGTGTTTCCCTAAAGGTTGTCCATGTTGGATTTGGCCCATCTTTCTTCCGGATCCCCGCTGCCCAGACTCTATTAGAAGTAAGATTAACTTTATGCATAGCGGTGTCAAACTGACTTTGATATTGCAATGTAAACCGCAATAGATCGTTGCTCCTCCTTTTTCAAAGCATAAGGGGGAGCAAAAAATTCCCTCTCAAGTGTCGCATTGATAGGCCAAGATTATGTGAGGAGTAACCATTTCCATTGTACTAACTCATCATAAAATTCTGAGCAACTTTCTTTAGCATCGTCCACAATGAGAACATGGTCCTCAGTAAACGTTCTGTCTTGTAGCTCTTCAAATGCTTGTTGTACCTCTTTAGGAAGTATCATTGGGTCCTCGCCCTTTGGCTCAACTTGTTGCAACAATTTTACAATAACATATATACAAATATCAGCATTTATTTTGTTTGCTGATATCAATCATCTTCTGATATGGACCATAACTTACCCTCTTCTTCTGGAATAAAGTCATGTTGTCCTGCGCCTCTTTATTGTATATTTTTCTCAAGGAACGTGAACGTACCCTTTGCATTCAATAATTTTTCGTTATTCCATCGTTCAAGAAGTGTCCTCGTGTACTCTAATAGCTGAACTGCGGGCAGCTCTCTTGCATCTTTGTTTACAGCATTTAAAGATTCTGCAATATTTGATGTCATCATTCATATTCTATTCACTGTTGTATGTACCCGAGAATATTTGTGATAACTAATAACGTAAAGGTATTCTTTTACCCGTGTGTCGATCTCTTCAATCTTTGACATTCTTTCATTGAACTCATCAAGAGTGTATGGTCGTGCCGTGCCAAAGTACAATTCACTTGACTTTAGATGACATTTCTTGAACTTTGACCTTATATTTGTCCAAATATGCCACATACAAGCATAATGTGGGATGCTGGTAAAAACAATTGTTGTTGCCTTCAATATACTCTCATTCCTGTTCGAAACAACACACATATTTGATTTTTCACTATATGCATGTTTGAACTGCTCAAAAAACCATGTCCATGATGCGTATCTTCTGAATCAACTATGGCGTAAGCAAGTGGTAATATGCTACCTATCACATAGCATAAAAACAATAAATTCAATTCAGTTAAGTTTTGAAAACAACAAACATACAATTAAAAAAAAACTTGAATTTAACAAAAATACAATTAATCTACACATATTAAACAGAATACTAACTGTGAGTAAGTACCTCTTGCATCCATTGTGCCAGCTGTTAGCATGGTTCCCTGATATGCCGATTTTAAGAAGGTGCTATCGACTTCTACAATTAGCCTACAATACTCTCAACCCCTTATGGATGTACTAAGAGCAATAAATGCATACAGGAAACACTCATCTGTAGTTCTTTGCAATTTCACTACTGACCCCGAACAAGTCTTCTCCAAAATGTACAAGTAACTCGGCAGGCGACTGTATGATTCAGTAGGATCACCTCTCAAAAATTGCACAACCTTTTCCTTTGCTCTCCAAGCTTGCATGTACGTTAAGTTCACACCATGTTATGACGACATGTCTGTTTGT